ATGGACAAAGGCTCCAGTCGTGCACGATCATATTCGCTCGCTTACACTTTTTTTAGAAAACATTGTAGACGATTGCATATATTTTTTTGATGTAATGACTTGTAAGGCTTGTCAGTGACTTCCGCCATAAGACATAGTGTTCTGCAAAAACAATGAACGTTGATAAAAAAAGGTTGCCTATGATATACCTTATTTTATTGAACTTTATTCTCAGTTAGTCTTGGTGAAAGAAACCTTGTAATTTTTTAATACACGTCATTCGATGACTCGTATAAACTGCTTTATGCAGTTGCTAACTATGCTAAGACTGTCATGAGCCCCACTAGAGTATAGCGAAACCCGAAATTCCCTGGTAGTATGGGATAACAGCTCAGGAAGTAGTGAACAAATTTGAGATCAGTTCAAACTTGGCGCGATAATTAGAGAAGATCTGTCAGTAGATTTACATCATACCGGATGCGAGAAAAGCTGTTTGACGGTAGCTAAGAAGCTTACCCAGACTCCGCCAGGATGAACTCTTTAATCCAATGTTCCAAAGACATAATTAGACAAAATGTCTATGTATATGCTTAAGGTATAATTTTCGTATAAAAAATGCTCCAAGGTCATATGTTTTATGTGTAATTGTTCTGCAAACTTTAAAAAAACATGATTTGTTTAGATCTAATGAGTATCACAGAAATATTAGAAAAAAGTCTTTTGCAAATGCAGCAATGAGTCAAGCAATAAATCATTAGCTTGTGAATTACAATTCACCCAAAAATCCCTTTTTATCTAATTTTGTTTGAACAGTGACACAGCGTTAGCTTAATTTAACGAAATAAAGGACATTTTTAGAAAGTTAACCGTTTTCAAAGTGTTGCCATTAAATACTACTAACTGTATATGTCCCACCCCAGCAAACACGGAACGTTTTATAACGTAACGATAACGTTTTTGCTATATAAACGTTATGGTAACGTTATAATAACGTTTCATCTGATAAACATAATTTCCACCTTACTGCCTCTTGTAGTATTTGCCTAAGATATGTACAATATCGAAAGGGTGAAGGTTGATTGCTCAGGGTTGAACGACGAGGAGAAGCTATGGACATGTTACTTTCAAAATCTTAAAATTGTCTTTCTCCTTCAACACTCAACACGGCCATTTTTTTTTACCATGAACGAAGGTTCCATTCATTTTCGACATGTACCAGTACGTCTCTCTCTCTCTCTCTCTCTCTCTCTCTCTCTCTCTCTCTTTTTCAATGTCACTTAGCTTAACCTCGCGAAAAAAAAAGCTTCAGGACCAAATCTGAATACAGGCATAATAGTAAGTAAACGATCACTCCATGCACTTGACGTCATTCAAACACTAGATGACCTTTGTCAACCAATAGTGAAGTACGATCTGTAGTAATGTTAATGGTTTTACAAGTCAGAAAAGACAGAACGCAATCAGGGCAAATGTCTTGAGCAACCAAGTTAATTATCTAAGTGCCGTGAAAAATCACAGGTTTTAAGGAAATTATGCGAGCTGTGTGTGACATCCACTGTATCTTCACAAATGTGCACACCGCATGTCCTTCGCTGCCTTTTATCGAGTTTGTTACACAGAAAGTAGGCTTTATATCGTTTAGCCATTCTAAACTAAAACATCCATTGTCGGAATTGGCATTTTGCTCTTTAGAGGTTCCCATCAAATGGATGACGGGGTTCATTTCCCCATATCTCTGTGGACGGCTAGATAAGAATAAAATCTGTTAAACGCACGAAAGAAACCACTTAGAGATATAAGGAAAAGTTTAAGAGCCTTTGATGTACACCCGTCCTGCAAAGACAGCGGTAATGGATGCTTTTACGAAAAAATCTAGACGCAGATTGTCGCGTTTGAAGATAGGACAGGCATTAGCTCTTTTTAATTTTTTTTTTGTTTCGTCTTGAGCAATTTTCATCTTCGGTTTTTTGGTAATAGAAAAACTTTAAATACTAGCAAAAGGCCACAGAAAATTCTTGGTAGATTTTCAACCTGAATCCTTGTTTCACTAATTATTTATTTATTTATCAAAGCATTCTAAGCTTAAATTCATCCAGATAATAGTCTGAACATAATTCATCTTAAAACAGGAAAGGAAACATTCTTTTCGTATTATGAAGCACAGGGGAATTATAAAGCAATCAAACATACGTGGAGTTAGTGTACATTATGCCCCATTTTCATAGACACCAACGGTCTAAGAAGATCCACGTAACTTCTCAGGGACTCTCGCTGAATGCAATCAGTTAAGCAGATAAAGGTGCCTCCTCCTGGCGTTAAGTAGAATACAGAATGGCTGGTGTGTTGGCATATACGGGCACGTTGGAAACAAGAGGAGGCGTGTCATTCAGTTAAGCTAATTGCACTCAGCGAGAGTCCCCACAGGGTTGGATCGATCTAAGACCGATGGGAATGAAATCTAAGGCCTGTATCACCAGTGACTCTCCCGCTCCAAGATATGCTAATGCATACGTAGGATACTAACAAAACGGGTGTGCCTATTACGCCGAATTTCATTGACAACGTGTTAATTGTTTCTGAGGCATTTTTCAGACTCGACAAGCAAGGAACATCCACTAATTTGCCGATTAAATCCATACACACGAACATATTTGGAGAGATTATTTTGTTCTGTCGTCATCATTGGACCTAAAATCTAGGTGATCCATTGCTGAGCCTCTTTAATTATTTCTTTGTGCGTGAGAAAATGAAATGTATGCTATTTTTGCGTCACATCATTAGGCGTCTCCACGATAATTACAACTCTGTATATCGCATAAATTGGACAAAAGTCTTTCAACGTGCAGCATGATTAGTTTTTTGACTCCTTAAGCAATTGCAAATTAGAGTTTTTTAAACTCTGTGTACAACGTTCTTGGCATCTGCTTTCCAATGTTATGTATCCTAATTATCTAATGCACACGGAATACTGTAGTGCATATTGCATATTGTATGAAGAATATTTTGTTGGAATATAGAGATGATGTAAAGTTTATACTTTTTATAATGGACTTTCAAAAAAAATTGTTGTCCCCCAAAAAGTAGGCACCCTCGTTCAAGGTAAACCACCCCAACCGCCACTGCAAAGGATTATATGTTTTGTTGGGTGGATATTAGGGGAGAAAAAAAAGCCCATTAATGTAGCCAAATGTTAACAAGCACGATAAAGCTTTGGTTTTACTCAAAGGTATATAAGACTTAGGTCCATATGACTGAAAATGGTCATTTAATAATAACGAAAAAGAATATAATACAATTTCACAAAAACGGGGGATAATCACACATCCCTCGTGGTATGTAACTACCTTGATATATATATATATAATCAATAAAGTAGGTTAATGAGTGCAATTAACATTTATTAAGAAAATATGTGGAACAACAAAAGCGATTGGAGCAAGAAGTTGGTACAATGAAAAATAAAGGTCATAAGATGTAAGACTAGCTCACATCTCCGCTTTTCTCAGTCTTTGTTGGTTATCGGTATTTTAATGAAAGAAGACAATATGACTGATACGAAAACAGATACTAGATCGGGAGGTGTTTTGATTTATCACACAGTTTACGAGATCGCAGAAAATCCGATAGCCACAGCATTTAATCTCCCGCTGTTGATAATAGGATAATAATGGGATCTTAATGCCACACTGATGCCTTGTCTGATCTCTCCTGAGCGAAGTCAATCTCTGCGATCAGAGAAATTCTCATTAGTCGTCTTATTCACCCTGTTCCTATACTATACTATGCCATGAAGTAGTTTTCTGACTAAGTCATCTTCAAAGAGTGTTGTTCTCCAATATTTTGATGGTGGCGAAGTCTTTTTGTTCAAGGTGACAGGTGCTGTTGCCCATTTTAACAACAGGAACCATTTTTAAAAAATAAATAAATAAATAAATAAATAAATAAATGAATAAATAGAAAAAAAGAAAGAAAAGAAAAGAAAAACGTTCGGCCGAAATTTGATCTCAACTTTTAGACTTAAATTTGACCAACTACAGCTAAAGCTAAATTCTTAGTAGTCGACTTTAATGTAGTTTATATTGGTTGTATTAGTTTGAAGCGCAAATAATATCTTGTTGGTTTAAAAACAAGCGCAACATTGCATTTGATTACATTTCTACTGATTTGTCTGGGATCAATGTACTCGTAGAACTAATTTCCAGTTAAAGGTCACGCAAAAAACAAGACCCAGTAGAGAGTCAAGAAATATCCGGGGGGGGGGGGGGGCGATGGTGGTGGAAATGCATAGGCTTGATACATTCTGCCGCCTCACATTATAACGGGCCCACTTTAAATCGGATTGACGATTGTATCCCTTGATATGTGGCCATGCTATATCCAAAGGTTTTAACTCATAATGCAGATAAATGAATTTTCGCGATTGACCTTAAACTCTTACCAACAGTAGTCCATGTAAACTGCACGTAATGAGATCTCTTAGAAAGCTTCCAAATTATTTGGGAAATTACTTTACGGCCATTAAGCCCTAAGCCACTGGATTGATCTTAATTGTTTCCTGAATTGGAATGTCCAACCCCTATTTGCCGACCACAGAAATTGATATAAATTGAGGGTCGGCAAAGGTATATCATGAGCGTTGGCCTTTAATATAACAAACAGGTTAATTTTCCTGGAAAGTTCAATAATCTACCTTTAATCATCAAGGTACTGTACATCCTAATTTAAAACCGCTGAAAAAATAACAGTTTAAATATCCACTTTATAAACTTCTATTTTTATTGTCATACGTGCAATTCAGAATTTTCTGCCCCGTTTTGTAGGGTAGCTGTACAATGTGACAAGAAAAAAAATTAAAACAGCGAAAATGATCTATTTGTGTAAAAAAGTAAACTAAGGAATATTGTCTGTCCATTGTGAAGTGAGTTTACAACAAAGATAAAAAGTTGATGTCGAATCATTTCTTTCAATACTGATTACATTTGTTCTTATGGTATTTATATTTTTTATATTTTCTTCCGCAGGTACGGCTTTGCAAACAACTTCTTTGGATTGGTGTCGATCACTAATCTTTCTTGCATCGCCATTGACAGATATATTGTTATATGTAGACCAACATCAGGTAAGATTAGCTCTGTCTGTCTGTCTTTCTTTCTGTCTGTCTGTGCGTCTGTCTCTCTGGCTGTTTGAAGGTATGTCAATCCTGCTTTCAGCGTGGTCTGTGTGACTAAAATATAACACTCTCGCTCACTCATACACATACGCACACACACACACACACGCACACACGCACACACACACACAGAGAGAAAGAGAGAGAGAGAGAGAGAGAGAGAGACGAGGTTTGTGCCTTCACTTAGTTAAAAAATATCTCCACAATGGAACAACAGAAGGGAGAAACTGACATCAGATAATAAAAACATACACACACGCACACACGCGAAAATATAGGTAAATGAATAAATAAATTAATATCTTTCAAAAAAAAAAAAAAAAAAAAAAAAAAAAAAAAAAAAAAAAACACCACAGTCGCATAGTAATTTGGAATCAGGAAGACAGTCGGCCCCTGCACTTGCAATGATTGCATATTTTACCCCGGCCCAGAAAGCAGACAAGACAATTCTAAACCGGGTGAGAAACCGTATGTCTTTTAGACAGATTTATTACGCTGCCAGGAAACAATTTATTCTTGGAATGACAAAGTAATGCAATTAACTGATCATTGGCAATCCCAAGACAAGCTAGGATATCAATCAATAAGTAGCCCAACACCGATTTCAGTATGATGTAAACCCCTCCATACTGGATTGCACGCTATTTACGAAAGTTTACGCTTATGTGCACTGTATAATAGATGTTATTCTGAAAGTTGCAGTAGAGCTTAATTTTTCAACACTGTTTGGCATGTGTGATTTGAGTTCCTGTGTAAAGAAAGGCTCTGTCACACCTATAGCGTCAAGAGGTACGTGTGAGTATCGTATGTGATAGCACCTTTGAGCGTATGAAATCACCCTGTTTACGGTGTATTAAAATGAAGATGCAAACAGCGTATATGTTTTTGAACATGCTCAAAACACTTTTTATCTTCATCCTGGTCTGTGAACGTACAACAACGTCTGCCTAGAACGTAAGTCTAACTAGAATCCCCTTTCGTTTGTCTGCGTACGTGGAATTTTTCTCATACGTTAGTGCCATACGCCAAGTGTGACAGTAGGCCTATATACCTTGACAGAGGGTCTGTCCCCTTTAGATTCATACAGGTTGAGGTTAACGTGACGTAAATGGGTCAAAATCAAGACGGGACTAACCTGTGCAAATCGATGGGGATCAAACCCTGTATCATGGCGGAATTTCTCATACAACACACCGATACAGTTTCACGGTTCCGACTCAGGAAATGAAAGCAAAATAATTCATTACTTAAATTCAATCTATTATTGGTAGCAATGGGCGTATTGAGAGAATAAACTGACAGTTTGATAGTATTGAGTAAGCGAAAAATAGTAATAGTGCGGTAATAAATTGTAAGGGTTATTTTGGACAGCGTAATTTACGTTATTTCTGAACTCGCTTACGTCTGACACACGTTGTCTTAGGTTATAAATCGGAAACTAGTGTATCTTCGGGTGGGCGGGTAAACAAATCAGCTGAGAGTATTGATCAAATCTTGTACTTTCCTTTCGATCGCACTGCTTTACAAGATTTTAGACTCACGAAACAAAATAAACAAAAGTTTTAACAACGCAATTCCAGATTTGAAAACTTTAAAAGTTAAGTTGGTTGTTAGTCATCATGATCACATTTAGGATAAGGCTCCAAAGGGAGGCGGAAACAGAGCCGAGAAAGGGAAGTGAGAAAACAGCAGGACACGAAATTGACTCTACAGTGAATTTAAAACGGCTTAACTAAGGGGCTATTCTCTACCCGTTTAGGCACTTTCACATCTAGAGAAATGCACTCGTGCTCAGACAAATGCAACGGCTTCGTGAGACTTATGTTGTATACGTTATCCGTAGAGACAAACGTTATATGTACCTTCCATAGCCTGAGGGAGAAAATGTCTCGGGCATGTTCAAAAACAGTCTCATAGGTTGCATATATCTTCATTAAAATACGCTGGAAACAGGGTGGTTTCGTAGGCTCAAACTTGTGAGTATCATCGACATCACATACGTTACTCACAAATCGAACTTGAAGGCGTGCAGGAAGGACACCGGAAACGATCATCATCTAGTTGATGCCGTCCGTTAATGAGCTCTCCCGGGAGGCGGTGGGTATTAATAACTGCTCTTTTGTTACGTACAGGGGGGATTTTTGGAAATGACTGACATGTATCATTAGACGCTTTGTTGACAATTAAAATAAGAATTGAATCGTGGGAGAGGTCCTTATGAAGAAGGGCAATCATAGAAACGTATTAAAAACATCTATGGATATGACGTAAGTTATCATGAACTGCGGCGATATATTTGAATTCCCCCGACCTCTTATTATTTGAGAAGATTGAAAAATCCACCTTCTTGTTATTACTTCAACAATTTATTATTTGAGCAGAATGACATTTTTCAAAAACATTTTTGAGAGTTTCTCCTATTCAGGTATTCTCCTTTTCAGACATGGCTTTAAAAATAACTTGTGAACGCCTATTATTGAATCTGAGAAATAAAAAAGATCAATGCTTTTAAGAACCAAATAATCTGAAAATATCTATATAAAAATAAACGCTAATTACACTGGGGTATATTGTTGAACTTATTACTTTCGATGCCATTGTGCCAATACTAATAATGAATAAATATGACTCTCAGTATATCTAATTCATTAGAAGGACCCAAGCTTCAAATCTGTCTCCCAAAATTGTACGGTTCCAATTTATTTCTATATACGCAAATCGGCACTGCGTTGTCATTTATATGGTTGTGTTTACCTAAAGTCGAGGTCAAAATGGATTCCTAGGTGTGAAACTCGAAACTAAATAGAGGTTTGCACGTTGGATCTTATTATGTGTTGACAGGAAATGAGAGGCCGTCGAGTGGAAGTTTTTAAGTGTCATGATAAAGAAAGGAAATATAGTACAAAACTAGATTTGGTAGTGACCTTTAGCGATGTCTACCTCAATTCTCCTCATCAAATACAGAAAAATCTATGTATTTGTACAGTACAGTACAATACAATACAAAACAAAACAATTCACATCAAGATGGGCCAGGATGATGTATGTGCGAAAATGATAAAACTTTTTATATGGTTTCTAGGCATGCGCTTGGATATTCGAAAAGCCATCCAGATCGCCGCCGGGGCATGGCTCTACGCTCTTCTGTGGGCGCTGCCCCCCGTGTTTGGGTGGTCCTCCTACACAACAGAGGGGCCTGGGACCTGGTGCAGCGTCCTCTGGCAATCCAGCGACCCCATTGACGTCTCATACATCATCACCCTGTTTGTATTCTGTTTCTTCATTCCTGTGGTCATTATGGCGGTCTGCTATTATCATTTGTACCGGGAGGTGAGACGCATGGCCAGACAGACGTCTATTGAGCAGGATTCTTCTGCTGGTAGAGAGAACATACGTAGGTAGGTTGACTGGTTTAAACAGAAACCTTCAACATTTAAAACTTGCCTTTTAACGCCTGCGCAGACTGCAGACACGAGGTTGATAGCTCCATGTTCTTTGTTTGTTGTGATTGGAAACTAAAATTAAAGGGATAACAGCTGTTTATATGAAATTAAAAATTTCACAATAAATACGTTGTGAACAACATACATTCTTTTATGTATAATTTCTAGAATAAATTCAACAGGTGTAATTGTATTCTGTCTGATTTCTATCTTTTTTGAAGAGGTTTTATTTTCTTAATAGGGAGAAGAAAGTGGCCAAAATGACTATCGTAGTTTGGGCAGCGTTTCTGATCGCCTGGACGCCATACGCCACCGTTGCCTTAATATCAACATTTGGCGACGCCAGCAGTATCAGCTACATGGCAGCTGCTTTACCGTCGGTGATGGCTAAATCCGCCACAGTGTATAATCCGTTTATCTACGTTGCGATGAACGAGCGGTTTCGTCGAGCAGCAGTGAACGTAAGTTTGTTAATTTGTATATTGGAAATAGATTTCAATCAGGATATGTGGAAAATTATTTGTATTCAAGGGTTTATTTTATGGGCTTATGGCCGTCGCCCACTTTAGAGTAAACAAACAAACAAACAAACAACATAACGGGCGAAACCTTGATAGGAATTAGAATAAAAAGAAAACAACGGAATTCAATATCATGATAGTTAGACATTTGATGACAAAATCTGCATGGTTTTAATTTATGGTATGCAGCAGATATAATAATGAAATCGATCATATTTAAATTTTGGTGGCGTTTTTGGCATAAAGTGACATATTTCTTTCATATATGTCTCTTACCTCCTTCGATCCTTATCCTTGTGTAGTTTCGTATAAATCCGCATACGGATGTGTAGAACTATTTGTACTCAAAGGTTTATTTTATGGGTTTATGGTCGTCGCCCATAATGTTAGAGTAAAAAAAAACATCATAAACCTTAATAAGAATGAGAAAAACAAACAAACAAACAATTCGAAACAACAGAATTCAACACAAAATACTTTTTCGTTTTCATTCTGCTTCTGTCAACTTAGCATATAGTGTTAAAAGCTCTTAAATAAAACTTTCTTTTCAATTATTCTTAAGCTTTCATGTCACGTTTTATGTTTTTTCACTTTGTAGCAAGTCCCATGTCTCAAACTGTTAATAAAGATCGACGAAGACGAGGGTGTGGCAGAGCAATCGGACAACACTACTGTGACGCATGCCGCCCCCGTTGTCCAGTTTAATTCTTCAAAGAGGTCACCTCCCATCCAGGCCATAGCGTCTCCGTACAGGGTAGACACAGCGTCGAGTTTAAAAACAGAAACAGAAACAAAAGCTTCAACACACGGAACGGCACAGGTTACAAATATTGACGTCATGGAAATACCATATGACCACACGCGTGCTTCTACGTCACGCGCACATCCACTTTGATGTTGCCGCCGAAGAATGTTTTGTTTCTTGTGCTGGTCACACCCCTGATTTTTGGCGTTAAACCACAAAGTCAGCAAGATTAATATCTCGAGTTTTGTATATATTTAACATTGTGCTCAAAGATAGAGCGTGACTCGGCTAAAGTTAAGAAGGTGTTACAAAATCATTCAATGTTATATTTTTCACTGTTTGTTTGGAAAAAAGTAGGCCTACATATTGTATTATCATTTTATGGTTGACTGTTCTTAAATAACATACTTCAATTTCACGTATTTGTTGTTGTCAAAATATTGTCGAAGCGCCAACTGTTATTTACATCGGAATAAAAAATAAGGCAACTAACAGAGGTCACAGGTAACAGCGGGAAGAGATTAACTAAAGGTGAGATATAAAGAGGAATTCTGGTACACAAAAGGTGTTATTTTTTTAGTAGTTGTCCATCACGAAAGAACCTGGCCAATGTCACTGACATTCTCATTCAACACGTTTTTTGATTTGCTCTATGAAATACTACCTTGAAGTCTCTTGATGGGCGTTTGAGTGCGCTAGAAGCAGTTTATTGCTTCACACCTCAAGCCACATCCCTCCGTTTTCAAGTCAATCCAGTATCTTTGTTGATGGAAAAAGGAAACGATCTGCTCACACCTCGAAAGGTTAAACCCCAAAACGGTTTCACAAACCTATGCGCTACATGAAACTAAAAGAACTCAAATATGTAATCGATGCCTTCAACAAGGTGAGGATTATTCATTAGGAAAGGCCTTCTTCTGAAGTGGTTCACACTGGCAGAAACTACCCTCTACCAGGGTGAGTGATAGATTTTTTACAGATATTCACAGATATGTTACTAGCTAGATAGATGGTCATTTTCAGCTAAACCCACCGAGACTGGTTGTTTCGTGCTGTACTTTTTTCATGCTTCCTACCTAACCTCTTTCTCACGAAACAGAAACATTGTTCAGAAATAAATGCCAACATTATCACACAACACTGCACGTACGCGTACTTTTTCGGGGAAATAAGAGAAAGATGTATGACGGTACCCTCATTGTCAGCAAATTTAACCAATTACTTTCCTTTTGCCCAGATCAAGCAACCTACCTCAGCACGACTGTAGAATGCTCGACTAAGACTGCATTACCACAGATTTAGATCGATCCATCTGGATCGACCTAACTCCCTTGGGGTTCAGCCGAGCGCTCACGGAAGTTATTGTACCCCCTTACAGCTTTTAGTAAGCGGGACAGACATTTAAACCGGCTAAGCTGACAGTAATCTAGTGAGACTCCCCACGGGGATAGATCGATCTATATATCTATGGGAATGGGGTCTAAGACATTAAGAGCAACATTCTAATTCGATACAAATGAGCATAAATCATTTATCATATAAATTCACTATTGGTATTTCGAAAGAAACCTGGCGTATTTACATACAAAAGTCAATCTGCAAATTTGAAGTAATCCAGAAAATCAAAATCTCCTATGAAAGTAATGCGATCATGTTGATTTCAGAAAAGATCCTTCTTTATATACCAAAAATAATCGGATCATGCTGATTTTCGAAAAGAACATGTGTTATTAACATGCAACGACAAACAATTTTGAGGTAAAACAAATATACATCACTTGAACAAATGGGGCGAACATCGCCGTTATAAGTGCGAAAAAAGAGCTTTGCAAACCCAGAAATCAGACATGTATAACCTAATGTTAAAATTTATCTCTTGAAACCTAGAATTTGGACTTGTATAGCCTAGTGTTTTTATACTATTGTATAGCCTGTGTGTGAAGGCTCATGTTTATCTGAAAAACTTTTTTATACATTTTTTTGTACCAAGTTAATCCATGTTAGACCTTTACGCTATGCTTATGTGCCACCCAAAATGTTTTTATACTATTACACCAGCGTGTTGATAATGTGACCGTTTCATGTTGATTACTATAGTATGTAACCAGTCAATTTATTTATTTCAGTTTATTGATGATACGGACAGTGACAGCGACGGCGACAAAACGGACAGACACGGTAACCAGAATATGTACAGACATATACGTATATAAAAGATAAACGCATATGCAGGCACAAGACACAGACACGCATATGTCACGCAGAATGCTGTCCACACACTCTCTCTCTCGTTTCTTTCCCGGTAAAACGGAGTATTTATCAGAAATGCATGTAGCTCCTTCAGCCTGGAGGCTGAAAGAATGAGATCAAACATATCGTATCCCTTTCAAGGCTTTTTTATAATTGAACGCCATAGACTGGAGATGCTGGTGTCTACTGGTGTGTGTGTGAGATGACTTAGACGACTTAAATATCTAGACTGAAAACGTCCAGGTAACGCTTCTAGAGTATTACAGTATAATTGGGCCATTCTCAATGAGAGAGAGAGAGAGAGAGAGAGAGAGAGAGCGAGAGAAAGAGAGAGGACACTAGCTTCCTTAAGAAACATCAGGTTACTATCAATTAGACTTTCAATTAAATACGACACGAGGCTCGCACAGGTAAAAAGGTCAACGACATTGCGACCTACAACGACCTTGCGAACCACATTCTGCCGGGTATTTACAAAACACTACAAACTTTGGCCTAAGAACAATCGATGACAATTTTGCCATTGTTATAAAATGCCAAGGGAAAGAAACCTTGATCGTATTAATTTTTTACCACTCCAATGCCCTTGATGCAAGTAGTAGAGATCTGGAGTCCTAATGGCAATTGATTTGTAAGTGTATACAAGAGCTTAGCCAAAATTCTTTATTATGCTAGAAGTAGTCATTTTAGTATATCAGTGGTTAATAGCATACTTATCTATAATTACATTTCTTCTGTCAATTTTCATCTACCCACGTAGATGTATACGTTACAATAAATAAAGCAAATAATCTTCAAGTTGAAATTTGATAAAATGTCCCTTTTTTCTGTCGGACAATAGCTGAAACCTTCTCAATTGATTAAATTTCTCATAGGCAGGATGACTACAAAGAAAAGTAGATAACACAATATTGTCATCCCTGTGAACTGTCTCTGACACGTGGAGATAAAGTGAACGGGACAATACACAGATCAAAATCAAATGTGGATAAAAGAATGATTAACTGAAGCTAGTGAGAAATCTCCGAGCAACGACGTGAACTTATGTGACATTACAACTGCTATCGCTCTCTGATCTTGACGTCTGTCCGAGCTCGAGGAAGTAAACTGCAATTTGACGATCGCGTGAGGACTGCAAGTTACATGGGCATGAGCTTGCAGTTGTTCGGTACGATTCTTACAGCTTCAGTTCTTCATAATACATGTATATCAAATGCAAGATCTCATGGAAGTTGGTGAAACTCTCCAGATCAAAACGTATACAACTATCCAAATGATTTTATATTTAGAATTTCAGCAGAA